TAATCGAGAAAAGCKGTCTCTATATAATGATGCTTAAAGTAGCCTTGTTTCGGGGCACCGGTTAGAGTCACGATTTTTTGAAAAATGTGWYGTAAACCTGGCGGGAGCAAAGTASCACMTTRACACCTCACACTTTAAAAACTCMCCTAAATCGAKGAAAMGTGAGAWTAAACTGGTGATCGCCATATTAATAGAGGAAAATGGCMTCTATTAAYTTAWGYTGAAAGCAGCCTTCTTCYTAAMGCGGAWTSAGAGTCGCAACAAAAAAAAGTCTGCTGCAAASTTGGTGGAAGCAAAACAGCATCTTCAAACCGAAAAGTTAAAAAATTATRCAAAATTGAGRAAACGTGAGACTAAACTRGTGATSGCAGTGCTAAAAGAGAGAAGCTGTCTCTATAGAATGATGCTTTAAGCGGCCTTCYCTCGAACCCTGAGTCAGAGTAATAATTTTTTGAATAATCTCTTGCAAACTTGGAGGAAGCAAGACAGAACCTTGAAACTTCACGTTTGAAAAACTYCCGAAAATTGAGGACAACTGAGATAAAATTGGCKAAAGAAGTGTTAATGGAAAGATGCTGAAAGCAACGTTTCTTCTAATCCCTGGTGAGAGTGATTATTTTYTTCAAAAATCTGATGCAAACTTGGTGGTAGCAAAACAGCAGCTTGAAACCGGAAAGCTAAAAAATTACACAAAATTGAGGGCACGTGAGACTTAATTGGTGATCGTACTGCTAATAGAGAAAAGCTGTATCTATGGAATGATGCTTTAAGCGGCTTTGCTTCGAGTCACCGGTTAGAGTCACGATTTTTTGAAAAATGTGTTGTAAACCTGGCGGGAGCAAAGGAGCACCTTGAAACTTCACACTTAGAAAACTTCCCTAAATCGGGGAAAAGTGAGATTAAACTGGTGATCGCCATATTAATAGAGGAAAATGGCCTCTATTAAACGATGCAGAAAGCAGCCTTCTTCCTAACGCGGTATCAGAGTTGCTGAAAAAATCAGCTGCAAACTTGGTGGAAGCAAAACAGCATCTTCAAACCGAAAAGTTAAAAAATTATGTAAAATTGAGGAAACGTGAGACTAAACTGGTGATGGCAGTGCTGAAAGAGAGAAGCTGTCTCTATAGAATGATGCTTTAAGCGGCCTTCCCTCGAACCCTGAGTCAGAGTAATAATTTTTTGAATAATCTCTTGCAAACTTGGAGGAAGCAAGACAGAACCTTGAAACTTCACGTTTAAAAAACTCCCGAAAATTGAGGACAACTGAGATAAAATTGACAACTGAGATAATCCCTGGTGAGAGTGATTATTTTTTTTCAAAACAGCAGCTTGAAACCGCAGACTTAAAAAACTGCTAAAAATTGACCAAAAGTGAGACCAAGCCTAAATCGGCAGGATTAATAGGAGAAATCTGCGTCTATTTAATAATTTTGAATGTAGCCGTTTGACTCATCCAAATTTTTAGTGACGAATTTTTCAAAAAACTCTTGCAAACCTTGTACTGGTAAAACAGTGCTTTAAATCTCCAAGTTTAAAAACCATTCCAAACATTTGGTAAAAATGAAACCGAATTGACGATCGAAGAAGTAATAGAGCAGTTTTTTCTCTATGCCTGATGCACTATTAGCGGCACGAATTTTTGAAAAATATTTTGCAAATCCAGTGGGAGCAAATCGGTCTTTGCAGGCCTCAAACTTAAAAATATGCCGAAAATTGATGAAAGCTGATACTAAAGGGGCACTTGCGGTATTAATCGAGCAACGTTTCCTCTATGTATTCGTGCTCAAAGCTAAGAACTCTAATGCATGAGGAATTTTCGAAAAAACTCCTAAAAACATGCTGGGCGGTAAACCGTATTTTATGACCATAAACTTGTGAGCATATAAGAAATTGAAGAATCGCCAAACTGAAACCACACTTTCAGCATTAATAAAGCAACGTTTCGTCTGCGCAATGGCGCTCCAACTCTGACTAATCAGCGCGTTGATTGGGGAATTTTTGTAAAAACCGGCAACAACCATGGTGGAATCTACACTAAACTTAAAAATATCTACAAAATTGACGAAGAATTGGATTAAAGAGATTCTTACAGGAGAAATGGAGGAAAGTTTCTCCTGTGTAGCAGTGATCAGATAACGCAGCTGGCAAGATCGAATTTTGATTGAGGAATTTTTGAAAAATCTCTGTTAAACGTGAACTAGACTTGCAGAGTTGATAACATTATTTTTCAAACGCACTGGAAGCAAAGCTTGCGGAGCCGCAGAAATGTCGAAAAAGATAGAGTTTCAAGATTATTACAGCAAAACTTCCTCTAATGAATAATACTTGAAGCAGCTTTTTGTCTGATACTCATTTTATGCCAACCGTTGCTGAAAAATCCTGTGCAAATCTGGTGGAGGCAATGGATCAAAAATTGAAAAAAAGAACCAAAATTTATGGTTTTCGAATTCGATAAGTGAAGTTGCTTAAATTCAAAAGTAGTTTTTTAATTTTAAGTTAAAAAAAACAATATCTTTATGCTCTACAACTTATATCAATAGCATGCTGGAAATTCAACAGTTGAACGCAAAGGAAGAGTTCCAACTATGAAGGTGAAAGGTGAACCTTTGTTGTTTTACCTTTTTTATTCCGTTTTATGAAACCTTTGTTGTTTTACTGTAGATTTCAATTGTCATATAATATACATAACAGCAGTATTGTGAATATTCAGTTTTAATCAAAACGTTATAAATCAATTGTTTGGAAAAAAATTGATATCGAAATCAATGTCGATCTGCCATGCTAAATATAAAAAGAGTTTAAAACTGAACTAAAGGACAGAAAACTGCAATACAAGTAAGTGATAATAAGGAATTGAGTGTAGTTTAAAGTTTCTTAATAATAAAATGACTTAAAAGTTAATTAAATGTGCGACATTTTATTTATTTCATTTTTAAATCACCAAAATGAAATTAGAAAAACAAACAAACCAAATAATTGGGTTTTATTCTGGAAAATATATTTTTCGCATGCATTTTTTCCGTAATTAAACGCTAGATTTATTTCTTGATATCATGTTAACATCGGGTAAAACAAGAGCACGTCTAAAAAAAGACAGTCATACTTAGTAAGTGTTTTCTCATTAAATGATTAATGTAGATTTTAGACAAATGTTTCTTCTTAACTTTGTTTTGTTTCTTTGCTTTTAGTAGAAAGTAAAATATGTCAATAAAAACTTTATAATGCAAAAATGAGTAATTTAAAGTTTTGTTAAAAATGAAATAAATTTGAGACATTTTACCTGTAACAAAGGACTGAATTTGTACTACTTAACCCCCGCTGACTCGAAAACGAACTTTTTCGAATTTTCCTACTAAATCGTTTAAAAGCAAATATTTATTTGCTTTGTCATACAATATAACGTACTGCTGTATGTTTTCTGTCCTAATTTTTTGCAAAATTCATATTAATATAATTATGGAAATATTTCACACAGCGAAAAG